TTTGGTTTCAAACCATAATTAAAATTCTCAAACCTAAACCAAACCGTTTTTGACCGGTTTGGTTTGGTTCAAAACCATTTCGTTGACGGGTCCACGTGGCACCAAACCGCCGGTTTCGAAATTGCGGTTTCGGTTCGATTTTTCGGTTTGGCGGTTTTTGCTTACAGCCCTAAGGAGAAGGTTGGAAATCAATAATGAAAATATGTAATTTATGTAATTACATTTTTGTTGAAAACATTTGTTCGATTTCAAGTTCTTATTTTGATCTTACTTCCGAGTAAGCAATGACTTGCCCTAACTTGGTGGTTTTGAATTTCGTAGAATATTGAAATTCATTTTTAGTTTTTAATTTTTATGGAATTGGTTGTTTTATATTGTGATAAAATGAAATATTAGAACTCTTTCATTTGCCCATTGAAATTGATTTTGTTCTTATGGTTAGAATTATTAGTTGGAATATATTCGCATTCATTTATTTGTTGAGTTTCATGTCAAAAATTCATGAAAAAAAAATTTAAAAGAAAATCTCTATTTTTCGAGTGATGAAACGGATGTGCTCAATAGAAAATGATATTCGAGAAAAATATTTATTGCTTAATTTTTTACCCACTGTTGAAAACGTCTAGATCAACCACTGGTTCTACCATCAACTTTTTTCGAAAAATAAATACCCTCGAGGAACTTTAACAACCAATTTTTCAACATTAGGTCGGACGCATACACAATTTGAGTCGAGAAACGCTATCCCGACTTACTTTACTCAAATGCAGATCCAACCGAGCAATTAAGTAATTTGAATTTTGCATATCTTTTTTAAGTACAAATATTATCATTCAATCTGCATGCTTTCCCTAAAATTGTATCAGTTAATCAAGAAAACAACAGCATGCCAAGATTATGAGATAGCTAACCATTCTTTCTTTACCATCATCTTAACAATAAGCTAATTGAAACCTCATGGCATCTATAAATTCATCAATTCCCTTTTCACTTTCTATCACAAAAATGGCTGTGTAAATCTCATAATTCGTCGTATAAATGACATTTTTCGCGCTTTCTCCGATTATTTTCTAACTAAGAAAATGATTGATCTTGTCAATTTTATATCCATCCTTCTATGTTCATTTCTCACCTCAAAAATCATTACCTTATGGTTAAAAAAAGGGACTCAAGAACAGGCCCAAAAGCTCCCTCCTGGACCTCCAAGATGGCCCATCTTTGGAAATCTTCTCCAGTTGGGCCAGTTACCTCATAGGGATTTTGCTTCATTATGTGAAAAATATGGGCCGTTGGTTTATATCCGGCTCGGTAAGGTCGACGCCATCACCACCAATGACCCAGATATCATACGTGAAATTCTTTTGCAACAGGTATCGAAGTAGCACAAATCCTTATTTGTATGAGTAGCCGTTAATTACCGTTTTCATATAAGTGATGTGGAATTTTATCCTTAATAATAGGACGAAGTATTTGCCTCTCGACCTCGAACACTAGCCGCAATTCATTTGGCTTACGACTGTGGCGATGTAGCATTGGCTCCACTCGGCCCGAAATGGAAGCGAATGAGGAGAATCTGCATGGAGCATCTATTGACAACCAAACGGCTCGAGTCTTTCTCAAGCCACCGGGCCGATGAAGCCCAACATCTTGTTCAAGATGTATGGACCATGGCCCGAAAGGGAGATGCAATAAATTTGAGGGAAGTTTTGGGTACATTCTCCATGAACAATGTAACAAGAATGTTATTGGGGAAGCAATATTTTGGGGCCGAATCTTCGGGCCGGCAAGAAGCCATAGAATTCATGCACATTACTCACGAATTGTTTTGGCTTTTAGGGTTGATTTATTTGGGTGATTACTTACCTTTTTGGAGATGGGTCGACCCGTATGGTTGTGAGAAGAAAATGAGGGATGTGGAAAAAAGAGTTGATGATTTTCATGCAAAGATCATCGAAGAACATAGAGAAAGAAAGAGAAAAGATGATGAAAGTGAAATGGATTTTGTTGATGTTTTATTATCTTTGCCAGGTGAAGATGGAAAAAAGCAAATGGATGACAAGGAGATTAAAGCACTTATTCAGGTCATTTTTGTCACATTTCAATTTTTGGTAGAGGATGTCTCCTAACTATTTGTGTTTAATTTCATTAGTGTAAATTTCTCGAATGATAGGATATGATAGCTGCTGCGACCGACACTTCGGCCGTGACCAACGAATGGGCAATGGCGGAGGTGATCAAGCATCCACGTGTACTCTACAAGATTCAACAAGAACTTGATACAGTCGTAGGGTCTAGTCGAATGGTGGTAGAGTCGGATTTGACACATCTTAATTATTTACGTTGTGTTGTACGTGAAATTTTCCGAATGCACCCGGCTGGACCATTTCTCATCCCACATGAATCGACCCGAGCCACTGTGATCAACGGCTACTATATTCCGAAGAAAACACGCGTCTTCATCAACACTCACGCCCTAGGACGAAACACTAAGATTTGGGACGATGTGGGCGAGTTTAGGCCGGAGAGACACTTATTGGCTGATGGGAGCCGAGTTGAGATTAGCCATGGAGCCGATTTTAAGATATTGCCATTTAGTGCTGGCAAGAGAAAATGCCCCGGCGCGCCACTTGGTGTGACGCTGGTGCTTATGGCTTTGGCTCGGCTTTTTCATTGCTTTGATTGGAGCCCACCTGATGGATTGAAGCCTGAAGACATTGATACAAGTGAGGTTTATGGAATGACTATGCCAAAAGCCAATCCACTAATTGCTGTTGCTAAGCCACGTTTGGCAGCTCATTTATATCACTGGTTACATTAACTACATATGTGACATAATACAAGAAGTTTTCTTTTTTTCTTAAATCCAAAAGTGACTGGTTTTATTCTTTTGAATTTAGCTCACAAAAGCCTAGCACAATCCATTAAAGACTCCTATAAAGTGAAAAAAGAGATCCATGGCAGTCAAAATGGAAGTTTTCCTTCCTTATATTTGGCTTGGATCTTCTTGTTGAAAACGTAACATGGAAATTTGGCAAAAACACATCTTATTTGGTGTTCAAAAGGAAATGGGAACACGATTTTAAAACAATTTGGGATGGCTAAATTGTGTTTTCTTCAGTATTTCTGACTTCTAAAGAAGCAAAAATGAGGAGCGTATTGAAGGAATATATCCGTTGTGCCTTTTCAAATGTTAAGGATTCCATTGGGTGATGTAGAAATAAACCAAAGCAAAAAAAAGTATCATGTGACAACATCAAATTTATTGAAAATAAAGCTTCGTTTGTTGGTTTTATTATCAAGTCAGAAGCCATGCTCAGTTATCACTCGCTCTCATATGTAAAATGGCTCCGTACCTTATTGAGTCTTTTGACACTTGTGACTATTGCAACGGTTATAAATTGTGGAGATGAAAAGTCTCACAATCTTGAAATTCATTCTTTTTTGTTACTAGCTTTTCACGATTGAAGTACTAATATCCTATTATAAGTTTTATTTTCTAAAAAGAAATTTACAATGACTTGGCATGCCTTATTTTACACGTCATGTTAATATGTCTTAACAATAGGTAGAGATGGCAAGCGGGTCGAGCGGCTCGTCGACTCGGCCACTCGGCTCGTGAAAACAGGAGCCGCTCAGGCTCGTTAAATGACAAGCCCGAGCCGAGCCGAGCCGCAAGTGATCTTGACTGCTTGGCGGCTCATGAGCTCATGAAAAAAAAAAAAAAGCCAGTGGGCTCGTGGCTCAACTCGTGAGCTCACGAGCTCACCTACGAGCCACGAGCTCATGCCTGCTCGGCTCATGAGCTCATGGCTCGTTTCTCACGAGCCAAACGAGCCACGAGCTCGTGGGTTTAAGGGCCTAGCCAGCTCGGCTCAGTTCGGCTCATTGCCATGACTAACAATAGGCGTATGCTTTGCACATTGACACCATTTAGTTAAATAAAATGGTCGGCGCACAATAGGTGAATGGTAGCCTCGCCCCTCATTTTTTCTTTTCCTGAAAATCGGGAGTTTAGATAAGAAATTTTGATACAAAATAATAATAATAATAATAATAATAAAAGGTCAATGACCATTGAAAAAATAGATTAAAAAGGGAAACGACACATGGTGAAGCCATGAATCTCAATTGTTTCACTCTTTTGGTAATGCTCATGATGAATCTATGGCTAGGGCCTTGCAATCAGAATGGAAGTTATTTTTTTATTTATTTAAATAAGAGGATATATACAATTTCACAGTTTTAATTGAGAAATTGGATGAGAAT